CCTGAGGGTTTAAAATAAAACACAAATGAACATTACTGTTAACACGACATCATAACAAGAAAACTAATTAAACGTGAACACTTTCATTTCACACACAGCCACAGAGAGATTCTTCTTCACATGAACACTTTACAGAGAAACCACCAAGCCCTCGCTCTGTTTCCGTCCTCTCTCTGTGTCGTATGTTAAAAATAATAAAACTCAGTGTTAGGACTTAAAAAGTGAAAAAGAGTGTCACTGTAGAAAGTCAAACATTTCTTGTGGCTTTTTAATTTAATCTCACCAACAGCTCATGTGAAGGTGTTTCCTGTAAATCTGCTGTAACTTTATCTGACTGCTCATCAGAAATGAGAAGTTTTTAAGAGTTAAAATAAAAATTTGTTTCCACTGAAGTGACTTAAATAAATTCTCCTAAAAAAACAGCTTAACTGAGATCATTATGTGTCCAATTAAACTGCATAAACAAGAATTTGCTGCCTCCACATAAGGTGCTTCAATCACGCCAAAAAGAAAAACGTTAAAGCTCAGTTTCAAACTTATCATTTAAAAAACCACAAACTAAACTCACAGGTTAATGAAAGTTTAAGCCTATTAAATTAATGTGATCGTACACATCAAAGCTTTGAAAGACATTCAACTATTTTTTCTTCGGTTTGTTTAAAAGCTTTTAACTTGACTCCGTACAAACAACAATTTCTGAAACACTTAAACATTTAATCTGTATTTGCTCTTAAACTGGTGCTCTGCAGTAACTTTGAACTCCATTACGGAGCAAACAGAAAGTTTCCGGCGATAGTCGAGTTAACTCTCTCTTGGTGTGTGACTTTCATTTCACACACAGCCACAGAGAGATTCTTCTTCACATGAACACTTTACAGAGAAACCACCAAGCCCTCGCTCTGTTTCCGTCCTCTCTCTGTGTCGTATGTTAAAAATGATCAAACTCAGTGTTGGACTTAAAAAGTGAAAAAGAGTGTCACTGAGAAAGTCAAACATTTCTTGTGGCTCTTTAATTTAATCTCACCAACAGCTCATGTGAAGGTGTTTCCTGTAACTTTATCTGACTGCTCATCAGAAATTAGAAGTTTTAAGAAGAAAAATATAAATTTGTTTCCACTCAAGTGACGTGTATATTAATTCTCCTAAAAAAAACAAAAAACAGCTCAACTGAGATCATTGTGTCCAATTAACTAGCATCAAAATGAATTTTAACACTTGCTGCCTCCACATAAGGTGCTTTAATCACGCCAAAAATAAAAAAGTTAAAGCTCCGTTTTAAACTTAACTCTGTGAGCCTCATTTGAAAAATTAAATCTCAGTGACTGAACCACAGAATTAAACTCACAGGTTAACGAATCTTTAAGCCTATTAAATTAACATGATCGTACACATCAAAGGCTCAGAAACAAACTTCAGCACATTTTTTCTTCAGGTTTGTTTAAAAGACTTTAACTTCGACTCCGTATGTAAAACAATTTCTGAAACACTTGAAACATTTCATCTGTATTTGCTCTTAAACTGGTGCCTCTGCAGTAACTTTGAACTCCATTACGGAGCAAACAACAAGTTTCCGGGATAGTCGAGTTAACTCCTTTGTATTTATTCTGAAACATAAAACCCAATTTTAAAATGAAGATTTAGATCTTACCTTAATTTTGAACAGATTTTGTGTCTTTTAGTTCAGTTATTGAAGGCAAAATTCTCTCTTCATCCTCTCTGTGCTTCACTTCACTGAAACCAAGAGCTCAAGGATGCAAAAGTGTAGAAGGCGGAAGACATCTGAAGAGAGAGCTGCACTCTGGAAAGTTGTAGGCCACTGCAAACCCCAGATCTTTGTGGGTTTGCTACTCATGTCTACTTTCCTGCAATCTAGGCCTGGCATTTTCTACTCAGTGCAGTTCTTACAAAAAGCTGAAGAAAGTTCTGCACAGTGACTTAAAAAAAGCTCAGCTGCACACACTCAGATTATACTCATGGATCCACAATGATTCCTGTAACAGAGAAGTGAAAATAACTTGAAATAAACAGAGAAGTCATAATAGGAAGAAGAGAAAGAACACAGAGTTTTAAAAAACAACCAATATTTATTCATCACAGCAGAAGTAACAAAGTATTTGTTTTCAAAATAAAAGAAACTGAAGGTAAATGAGCTGATTTGGTGTTTTTTTTTCTTTTTTGACAGACATTAGTTGTAATTATTTCCATTAAATGACATTTTCTCTCACTGTGGATGTTAAAGTCTTTCTTTGTCTTATTTCCTCACACTAACAGGCAGAGGAGGAGGTGGCGTCAGACTGAAGTGATGACACCAAACTCCAATCGTCCAATAAAAGCAGAGAGGACCCAAAGCAGCCGTGGGTCTTGTTGGTTTTCTGAAAATATTTGTGAGTTAAACTTGAACAGATGTCTGACAAAATCTCAGGTGGTTCTCAGTTTTACTCAGCAAGGCCCAGGAAACAAGACTAACCGTGTCTCTGAACAGACCTGAGGTTTGTAAATCAGAGATAAAGACAAATACCATTCAGAGGTAGAGCTATCATAGTTCTCTGTGGTGCACACCTTCACCTGATTGTTGAAGATCACCCATCTGTGAGACACAGAGATAAAACACAAAGGCCTGTTTAACAGCACCTGCTGCCTCCAAATGTACAGCTCAGGTACAGATGTCATAATAAAAGTTAAAGCACGACTCATCAGTGGAAACTGGTCCATTTGCTTTTATTCAGACATGACACAAACATTTTTCCTCCAGGTATGTTGGTGATAGATGGATATAAATCCTTCAAACCTTCACTTCTCTGACAGATTAACACATCAGACTGTGCACATCAGCAGCCATGAAATGAGTTGTCAGAGCAGATGTGGAGTATGGTGCCCCCTGCTGAAGAAGCTCAAAAGTTACCACATTTTATTTTAATGCAATTCTTTCCTAATATTTGAGCAAGCACATATATAATAAGCAGTTTGGACGTCTGTAAGGAAGTCATCTATTTTTTTTCTGTAGGAGAAAATGTTTTTGTTTTCTTTTGCAAAGATTTCACTAAAGTTTCTTTTAAATTTTGAGTAAAACTATGCAATGTCCCTTCAACCAGGGCTGATTTGTTAATAACAAATATGAACATGGAAAAATGGCTGATCCCCTGTTTTTCTGTCAGGTGCTCCTTTCAGGGTCTTCACAGCAGATCATCTCCATCTCCAAGGATTTTTTTTTAAACCGAATAAATGTTCACAACCTCATGTCTTTGTAATCACTATACTGATATTGTTTCTCCTATGGCCTCCAAAGACGATTTGTAGATTTTATCAAATTGCTCCAAGTTTCCACATTTGTCTTTTTCACCAGTGAACAATTGCTCGTTATTTTACATAATGTAAAAAATGATTTTAATGTAAATCCTGTACTTTTAAACTTGCTGTGTTTCCCATAAAAGCAGACACTGTGTCTGATATTTGCAATAACGTTGCTGTCACTAGCTCCACTGCAAATATTCAAGGAGTTAGGAACTCACATAAAATGGCACACAGAGGGCAGTAGTCAGGCACCTAAAATGCTCAAAATATACAAGTTATTAATGATATTTGTCTCTACACCAGAATAAAAATTAATACAGGATGTAAAGAATGAAAATCCAGTTAAAATTTTAGCACTGAAATAAACACTCGTTCTCCACCACCCCTGGGGCGTCTCCCATTTTGACCTTGAGACTTCCTGGCTGTATTTGGCACAGATGTTTCTCTATACTATGCCGTCCTCTTGGTTATGGCGTTCCATGTATGCACTTCCTTCTAGCATCTTGCACGCTGCTGTTATGTGCTGGATTGTCTCAGGGACATCTTTACACAGCCTGCACCTGGGGTCTTGTCTGGTGTGATAGACCCCAGCCTCTATGGATGTTGTGCTCAGAGCTTGTTCCTGTGATGCCATGATTAGTGCCTCCGTCCTGTCCTTCAGTCCAGCTTTGTCCAGCCACTGGTAGGATTTCTGGATATCAGGCACCTCCACTATCTGCTGGTGGTACATACCGTGCAGGGCCTGTCCTTCCATGATGGTTCCTCCTCTTCTTTGGGGCCATCCTCCTGATATATTCATGGATGTTCGTTGCCTCATCCTGGATTGTGGTGCAGACACTTACTAGTCCCCAGCCTCCTTCCTTCCGTTTAGCGTACAGCCTCAGGGTGCTAGACTTGGGGTGAAACCCTCCATGCATTGTCAGGAGCTTCCTTGTCTTGATGTCAGTGCTCCTGAGGAGGACTTGCCTGACCCTCTGCAGGTATAGTGGTTGCGCCCCTCTCCTCCCTGTGCAGCAAGCAGCAGCAGGGCGCCCTTACTCCCTGCAAATGGGCTATGGAAAACCAATCGGTGCCTATGATACTCCCAAAATGTGCTGGCATGATGTCAGGGCAGCATGTGTGTGAGCAACTTTTTTTGCCAATGCCCATGATGTGACCCCACCACAATGCTGCCCTGGGCAACAGCAGCCCATGTCACCCATAACAAAAACTGCCACTGGTTAACACATAGTATTAACAAAAAGATCAGGCCTTGATTCACAAATTTTTGGCATGTGTCAACAATGCTTCATCTGGTGGCAGAGTGCTGCCAACATTTTGGAGAATTAATTATAAGTTTTAACTACTAAATTGAACAGGAAGTAAATCTGGGACTGACTAGTGACAACATCGATGATTAGTCCCACACATCCTGAGTTCCAAGTAATAAACAAATAAAACACTCGAATTTCACTCACCTGAACTGAAGCACAGACTTCTGGGTTGGTTATCAGTTATGAGAATATTAGTCACACAGTCCATTAAAACTTCCCCAAAAGGCACCAGCTGGTCATATCGATTGACAGGTGAGCCTTATTTATCTGATTTTCATCTAATATTCAGCCCTACTCTCTGTGAGAAAACCTTCTGATTGGCTGCCGCTGACAAGTACAAGACAAGAAAGGCAAGAGGGTGGGGCTTATGAGCTCAAAGATAAAGATATATAGCTGAGAAATTAACAACACCATTAACATTATCCACTCTTTTTGACATCACATAGGAAAAAGTAGAAAAAAAAAATCAGAAACAAAAATTGAAAAAGCACACAGCCTGACAGAAAAACATTTATTTATCACAGCAGAAGTAACAAAGCGTTTCTTTCTGAAATAAAAAACAAGACAAAACAAGAATCTTCAAATCTCACCAAACCAAAGAAAAACAAGTTGTTTTGGTGCTTTTTTGTTGTAACACACTTTTGTTGTTATTCTGTTGTTGTTTTTTGTTTGTTTGGATATTTTGCTATTTCCTCAGACTAGCAGGTGCAGGAAGAGGCTGAATGCTGAAGTGGTGACACCAAGCTGTAATCGTCCAATAAAAGAAGAGGAAGCAGTGACAAATTATGGCAGTGGAAATAAACAGACAGGATGTGAGGAGGCTCAGAAATGTTGCTCTTGTTTGGGACTTAATATTATACTCAAAATATTCACTCAAGCATCCAAATCATTAAATTCAGATGTTTTGGTCACTTCGTTTCTAAATTTCCACATTACTAAATATTCCACGGTCAGCTGTTAGTGGCATTGTAGCAAAGTGGAAAACAGAACACACCCATGAAGATGTAGGACACATAAAATCACAGAGTCAATCACTACAGACCTCCAACCTTCATGTGATCTTCAGATCAGCATAAAGCACACGACGACTGGACTCTAGAGCAGTGGAGACATGTTCTCTGGAGTGACGAATCAAGATTCTCCATCTGGACAATGCAATGGACGGTTGCCAGGGGAACGCTACTTGTCTGATTGCTTTGTGCTAAGTGTAAAGGTTGGTGGAGGGGGATTATTGTGTGAGGTTGTTGTTCAGGGGTTGGGCTCAGCTGGTTAGTTCTAATAAAAGGAACTCTTAATGCTTCAGCATACCAAGACATTTTGGACAATTTCATTCTTCCAACTTTGTGGGAACAGTTTTGGGATGGTCTCTTCCTGTTCCTGTTGGAACAACGTGACTGGCCTGCACAGAGTCGCGACTTCAACCTGCCAGAACGCCTTTGGGATGAATTAGAGCAGAGACTCTGAGCCAGGACTTCTTGTCCAACATCAGTGTCTGACCTCACAAATGTGCTTCTGGAAGAACAGTCAAAAAATTCCTATAAACACTCCTAAATCTTTGGAAAGCCTTCCCATAAGAGTTTAAGCTGCCACGGTTGGACCTACATCATATTAAACCTCAAGGATTGAGAATGAGATGCCGCTCAAGTTCATATGTGTATGAAATTAGACGAGTGAACGCTTTTGGCAATAAAGTGTCATTTGCAAGTAAAGTGTGAACAGATGTTTCACAGATTTTAGGTGCTTCTCAGTTTTACTCAGCGAGGTCCAGGAAACAAACCGAACATTTCATCTGTACATCTGCACCAATTTACTGAAGAGTGTAATACTCAATCTGAGACACTCATTTAGACTTAACCCATTTTTTGTTTCATCGTCAACGATCAACTTTACACATAAATATTTGATGAGCGCCTTTCCTCACATACCCTCCTTCTACTCATGCACTTACACAAGACAATGACACAAACTATCAGGAAGATCCCAAACTGACAGCAGACTCCGATTGCAATCCACATCCAACAGGAGAGTCCCAGTGGGCAATCGTTGGCAGTACCTGAATGAAACACAGATCATTGGACAAAGTGAGAACGACAAGAATGAGTTACACATTCAGCAAAGGATCACTTTGATCCAATTTGCAGACACTTTGCAAAAGCTGGACGCACATGTTGTACATGTTGTACATGTTGTCTTCTGAACACTCGTTACAAACAATGTGACGTTCTTACGGGTGGTTGGTGGAGTTGTTGTAGTTGTTGTAGTTGGAGGCTCTGAAGAACAAAAACACACATCTTTATGTTTCTTTGCACCACATATGCACACAAAGGTTTTCATTCCTAGTGCTGTGTATTACCTTTGAACTGTGATGGTCAGACTCTGACTAAACTTATTGCTGCCACAGGTGACGATACACTCCCAGGCCCCGTTATGTGAGCTTGTTACAGGTTTCAGTTGAACTGTTGATGGATTTGTGGGAGAATCTGTATTTGGACTCTGCCACTTCACTTCACATCCTTGGGGCTGACCTTTCACCTCACACTGAAGCGTTGCCTCATCATTCGGCTTGAGAACAGCAGAGGGTTTGACGAGACCGAAACTGAGAAGGAGAACAGACGGACAACAACAGATACAGTGAGAATCACAAAGAGAAAAGGAGACCATGCTGAACAAGCTTCATCCAAACTCGCTACACACATGACAAAGCTTTATAACATGAGAGGAAAAGAATGAGAGCATATTACACTAAGTATTAAAGGAAAAGTGGTTACGCTTTCACACATTGAAACATTTTTGGTGATATGAAAATATCATAGACAGTGTTGGGACTAACGCGTTATTAAGTAACGCGTTACAGTAACTACGTTATTATTGTGGTAACGAGCACGGTAACTAGTTATTATGCCAAAATCAGGAACGCGTTACTCGTTACTGGGATTTAGATAGGCTCGTTACTCGTTACTTCGTGTGGTGGCTATCGCGGAGCTTCCACAGATTCAGTAACATTAGCAAGTGGTGAGGCCAGCAGGTGGATGAAGGAGAAGGAAAAGAGACCCGAGGCGGCCGCCGGTCCAAGTGTGAATTGAACTTCAGGTAAGAAGTTATGACCTGCAGTCTCTCTGGGTCAGATATGAACCAAGTTTAGGTGGAGTTTATTTTCGTTATGCTGACTTTTTCCGTACTGCGTGCTAGCTAGCATGACGGAGTTTCTATACAGCTGGGTGGTGCTATGAAGTTAATGATGTTGAACTTTATTTTGTTCATAAGTTATTAGAGTTGCCAACCGTCCCGTCTGGTATTCAGAGAAAATATTACGCGTTTCTTATTGAGGTGAAAAGGAACAGTTTGTCCCGGACTTCAGCTACAATGAAAAAGACACAAAGCTGGAGTTATTCTGTGTCTTTGCTGCACAGCTGCCTCTTCTTCTCATTCTCCCCCTCCCTCTCCTGTTTCTACTTCAATCATGAAACTGATCAATGATCAGCTGATCGGCTTTTCTCTCTTGTTTGTTTATCGCCCACTTTGCGCCAGAAAGAGGAAACCAGCGGATGTCGCGCTAAACAACAGCAGCACGTTTAAGCTTGATCAGCTGTTGTTAGAATTTATTTAATATTAATTTCTAGTATCAGCTGATGTTTGCTGGAGCCACAGCTGTAAAGCTGCTGGTCATGATATCGGTTTGGTTATGTGGTGAGAGGGAAACATGAAGATGAAACCAGGAGATGTCCTTACTGAATCATCAGAGCTGAACAGGTGATGGAGAAACAGGTTTACCTTTTAGGTGACATGAATGAGTTGAAGTTATGAACTGTTTCTGAGAGACAAATAACACCAGGATCCTTTTCTAAGTAGCTGACAGCTGGTAACTGTGCAGGGGCGGATCTAGCAAAGTGTTGCCAGGGGGGCCAGGTAGGGCATTAACAGGGAGAGGGGGGCACAAAGAAATACTTTTCTTTCTTATTCTCATTTAAAATGTCTAGCTTTTAAAAAATAATTATCTGAATCTTACAACAAACGATTGATAGATTGATGCATATATACCATCAAAACAGTGTACATCACTGTCACAACAGCGTTTGTTTTCATTCAAAGGCTTTATGATTTTTCCTATAATGGTGGGCCGGTCTCTAGTCAAAATGCCCGGGATTTTCTGTCCCAGTCCAGCCCTGTATGCAGCTCATCTGCAGTCTGGTGTTGCCTACATCTTCCTATTCAGAAGGCAGAATTTCCGAGTTCTGAGTACAATCGAAAGCACCACGACTGCAGTTTTTGTGTTGGATGTAAAAGGCGCACATGACGCTGTGACGTAGGCTAGAATCATGGCAGCAGTCAATGACGGTCCAGGCGTGGGATTTCTCTCGTGGAAATATGCACATTATCTTTTCCTTTCTATTGGTAGGTGGCACAGTGCACTTGTGGCAAGTAAGCAAGCTAGAAGACTGGCAAAGTTATGGAAGCAACACATTAACAAGAGAATTCTGAGTAAAACCAAAGTTACTTTCCCTAGTAACTAGTTACTTTGAAAGTAACGAGTAACTTGAAGTAACTGAGTTACTTTTGATAGAAGTAACTAGTAATGTAACTAAGTTACTATTTAAAGTAACTTACCCAACACTGATCATAGATAACCATTTAACTGTAGAGGGATTGTAATAAGTAGTGACCCAGCTAGTGACAGAAAAGATCCAGGCCTGGACTGTTTATTACGTCACAAGCTGATGTTTGTGTCCTTTTCCTTTACTACAAATTAGCGTAGACCAAATTGCATTTTTTTTGTCCCTAACTGTCATAATGTGCTTACACAGGCGTCACTGTCATATAGAAACACAGCATAAGCTTTTTTGTTTAAGCAGCCGTTCACTAAAAAAAAACAAAAAAACAAGAACTTAAGACTGTGGTGGTCCTGCCCACCCCGTGGCTCATCTCCTGTTCAGGAAGTTTCAGTGGTGTCCCACGTTGGGATTAGAGACATCAAACAGGGAAAGCTGCCTGTACAACAGAGTTTGTTAAAGATGTTGAAGGCTGACTGGGAGAGGATTAAGTTGAATTAAGGGAAATGTAGTACTCTGAGCTTGATTTTTCAATAGTATAATCTGGATTTTGGTCTCTGCTGCTTTGAATTGTCTAATGTGAGTGCAAAACATAGTGTGTAAGAAATACATTGTATATTTTTGTTGTATATCCTTTTACCTGTTATAGTAACAGAACCATCAATCACATTAAACAAATTTCCCCTCATTTCACAGCAGTGTCATTTTTATTAACCTGATTATCAGTGTAACATGAAAGGATCCAGAAAACAAAACCATAACTGTCCTAATATGTTAAACCCATCACTGTTCCAATAAATATGAACATTTATTTGTAATTGTATATTTTCAAGGTCTGCTGTTTACCTGAGAACACAGAAAGTGAATGTTCATGACGTGTCCCATCTGCCGAACATGTGAACCGTCCAGCATCTGTTTCTCTCACACTGGAGATTTCCAGATTCGTCTGTCTCACGGCTGACCTCTGCACAAGTTCAGCACTGCCTAACACAGAAAATAAAAATATGTTCTAATATAATGTAATCATCATATACTGATGTTAACTATCAAGTATAAGTTCAAGATAATCAAAGACCTTTGTGAGGGTAGCCTCTCTGATCAACACTATGAAGAAGGTCATTTCCATGATGCCACTGCAGAGAGCGTCTGTAGCTGCTGACCCCACACTTCAATGTGACTTTCTCCCCGACTTTTGCAATGAAATCTTCACCTGCAGCAGAGAGTGCACCCAGCACTGAAAAGAAGATGATCACAGTAAATAAATACTTGTCTTTTAACAATGCTTATTTAAAGGAGGATATAAGAAACGTCTCTACATGGAGACAAAACCAGTCCTATTCTCTTTATGTCGTCGTAAACTTGTGCAGTGACATTAAAGAACCTGAGATGATTAAAACACCACTTCAACCATATTTATAGAAGATTTTTCAGTTTGATGAAACATGAGGTCACACACCATCTACAACATGTGTGTGCAGTATTTTAAAGGATTATTCACAATATTGTCTTCACAAGTATATTCACTCACCAAACACAAACAACACAATCACCTTCATTCTGAAAGTCGACCTGAGGGTTTAAAATAAAACACAAATGAACATTACTGTTAACACGACATCATAACAAGAAAACTAATTAAACGTGAACACTTTCATTTCACACACAGCCACAGAGAGATTCTTCTTCACATGAACACTTTACAGAGAAACCACCAAGCCCTCGCTCTGTTTCCGTCCTCTCTCTGTGTCGTATGTTAAAAATAATAAAACTCAGTGTTGGACTTAAAAAGTGAAAAAGAGTGTCACTGAGAAAGTCAAACATTTCTTGTGGCTTTTTAATTTAATCTCACCAACAGCTCATGTGAAGGTGTTTCCTGTAAATCTGCTGTAACTTTATCTGACTGCTCATCAGAAATGAGAAGTTTTTAAGAGTTAAAATAAAAATTTGTTTCCACTGAAGTGACTTAAATAAATTCTCCTAAAAAAACAGCTTAACTGAGATCATTATGTGTCCAATTAAACTGCATCAAACAAGAATTTGCTGCCTCCACATAAGGTGCTTCAATCACGCCAAAAAGAAAAACGTTAAAGCTCAGTTTCAAACTTATCATTTAAAAAACCACAGAACTAAACTCACAGGTTAATGAAAGTTTAAGCCTATTAAATTAATGTGATCGTACACATCAAAGGCTTTGAAAGACGATTCAACTGATTTTTCTTCGGTTTGTTTAAAAGCTTTTAACTTCGACTCCGTACAAACAACAATTTCTGAAACACTTAAAACATTTAATCTGTATTTGCTCTTAAACTGGTGTCTCTGCAGTAACTTTGAACTCCATTACGGAGCAAACAGAAAGTTTCCGCGATAGTCGAGTTAAATTATATGAATTTATTTTGAAGTACAAAAGCCAATTTAAAATGTAGTTGAGCTCTTACCTTAATTTTGAGCAGATTTTGTGTCTTTTAGTTCAGTTATTGAAGGCAAAATTCTCTCTTCATCCTCTCTGTGCTTCACTTCACTGAAACAAGAGCTCAAGGATGCAAAAGTGTAGAAGGCGGAAGACATCTGAAGAGAGAGCTGCACTCTGGAAAGTTGTAGGCCACTGCAAACCCCAGATCTTTGTGGGTTTGCTACTCATGTCTACTTTCCTGCAATCTAGGCCTGGCATTTTCTACTCAGTGCAGTTCTTACAAAAAGCTGAAGAAAGTTCTGCACAGTGACTTAAAAAAAGCTCAGCTGCACACACTCAGATTATACTCATGGATCCACAATGATTCCTGTAACAGAGAAGTGAAAA